CTATCCGGATTGTTCCATGAATTGGTTTCTTCGGTTTGCATCCTGTTCTTCTTTCCATTAGATGTGTATAAGAGACAGCAACACAACTATCCGGATTGTTCCATGAATTGGTTTCTTCGGTTTGCATCCTGTTCTTCTTTCCATTCCTCTTTATCCCATTCTTTCCTCTCTCTCTCTCGGCTCTCCTTTTTTCTTTGTTCTTCTTGTTGATTGGACCATTTCTCGATGTATCCGTGTCATCCTTGCGCGGAGGCCATGCTAATCTTCTCCTTGCGCAGGGGGGGGCATGCTTTCATTTCATTTTTACAGGTGCGGCTGGGGCTCGCATTCCTTCAATTTCTATCTTCATTTTGTTCTACTCTTTTTTTTTGGGTTCAAGTATGCTCCATGTGTGGGTGAGGAGCTGCATCTGCTGAAAGGTGGGGCAAGACCCACTACCGTCTTCACCGGAATAGAACGCCCGGTAATTATCGATGCACATGGACTGAAAGCTGCCTCAAATAGAGCTATAATGACGGGCCGGGTGAAGATGGGAGAGGAAGGATCCTGGGTGTTGAACATTTTTAGATAGGGGCCCAGTTTGGGCTGGGCATGAGATTTTCAGATTGGACGGTACATGTGCCAAGAAGTATTCGATCCTCCAGCTGGGCCTGGTTCCAGCACTGGTAGCGTGGGACACGGGACACAGGGCCAAGTACCTGTGGTGGGACTTGGCGGCCCTGTGTCCTGTGTCCCACGCTACCAGTGCTGGAAGTCGGGCCCAGCGTTCCTTCCGTTTTATTTGTGCCTGAGAGGGTGTGTTGGCGTATAACATAATGAATGAAAGAAATAGGCCGTTGACAATGAACTTATCCCAAATATCCAGCGGCCTAGCTCAGTTGATAAGGCACGCAAGTGGCATTCAGGAGGTCTTGGGTTCAATCCCCATTGGCCTCATGTACCTTCCTGGGCATGCTTGGCGCCCGCCACCTAGAAATAGCCCGTTGGTTCCCCCCAATTGGCATTAAAAAGCAGGCTCTGCTGATGTTCATAGGGGGAGGGGTAATCGGGGAGGCACAGCGACTGGCCACTCAGATGATGCTCGGTCCCTCTGCCACCGGCTGTCCCCTGGCCGGTGCCCCCCGTTGGGGGTTCCCTGCAGGCTATCAGGCCACCCTGGGCTGAAGAGGCCACCGTTGTCAGATTAGACACAAGATTGAATTTACCTGGGCTGGTTAGTCCGATGATAATACCTCAAGGCCAGCGCCCTTTTAAAACATTTTTTGTTTAAAAAAAAACAAAACAAACTTATCCCAAACAGACAACCAGGTGTAGGCCATGCACCTGGCCTACCTCTGAAGGCAGGTACCTTTTAAGTGACCTTTTTTGCGGCAAAATGTGTTTCCAACGTGGTCCACGTGTGTAACCCTGCCTCAAAATGTCAAATATGGGAGCTGCCAACGAGGCTGGTTGCTGCCCTTGCGCACTCCAGTGACTCCACAGTATGCAGTGTGGGTAAGGGTGCGGCCTTACCGCACTCCGCAAGAACTGGATGAGGGTATCACACCGTCTCAGGTCGACAGTAGAGAAGCTCGCTCGGACTGAGCAGAGAGTCTGGATGGATGGACCTACAGTAGTGTGCCAATTTCTTGGGATTTTTCGCCAGCAGACGAAGAGCAGAGCAGTTCTCTGAGCAGACTGTGGCGATGATTGCACTCTGCCAGTTTGCAGCAGGCCAATAGCAGACCATGGAGAGGAGAGCAGCTCGCTCCACCTGAGCTGACCATGGGGCCGAAACTATTGTGCAAAAAAATCCATGGTCAGCTCAGGGAATGTTGTCACTCAGCTCAGGGAATGTTGTCACTTACCGAATAGTAAGTGGATTTTTGTGAGTTTAAGTGAGAACCCACTACTATAAGATAGAAAGCGGGTGCCTGCAAGCTGAGCTTTTTTGGTTGTCAATTAAAAAATTAAAAACGAAAAAAGAAACTGGAGCATGGAATGAGATGAGGTTGGCCGTCGCTGTGCCCACATGTGTGTGACGCTACACGCTATTTGGCGAAGGTAGGAGGGAGGCGTTCCCAGGTCAGCAAGACTGTATGATGGAAATCCAGGCCACCAAACACTTGCATTACCTTCTTTCCCCCGAATACAACGTAATATATGGTCATTGTAGCTGTATGTATTTGGGGTATCTTTCGGTCTAATACAGCTATATAGTGACCATATTACGTTGTATTGCGGGGGTAGAAGGTAGGCCAATGGCGAAGCATGAAGCTCTGGCGAAAGCTTGTTTTCCTCGTCGGGTCCCTCCCGTCTTGGGAGTGTGGCCACTGAAGTTGGACACGTCTTGGGAGTATAATTGGGAAATAGGGAAAAGAATTAAACAATTGCATAGCGATGTCCGGCTAGAGTATAATTAGTATAATTGGGGAGAAGCAAAGCAAAGAACTGGTAGGTAGGTAGGTAGGTGTGGGGTGATGCTTTCCTGACCCTGCAATGGGACTGTCTCTTATACACATCTAGATGTGTATAAGAGACAGTCTTGGGAGTATAATTGGGAAATAGGGAAAAGAATTAAACAATTGCATAGCGATGTCCGGCTAGAGTATAATTAGTATAATTGGGGAGAAGCAAAGCAAAGAACTGGTAGGTAGGTAGGTAGGTGTGGGGTGATGCTTTCCTGACCCTGCAATGGGAGGGGTACTCAATTCAGACAGAGAACAGTATTCAAAAGTTGGAAAAGAAATGGTACAGTGGGGGGGCCCACTGATGCTATTCTCATGCTTTGAAAGCACGAATCCGGTTGTAAAACTGGCCAGATTCGTCCTGGCATAGCACAAACGTAGCACAGAAGTTGGGGTTTTGAACCTCCATTACACCTGGGCTTTGGCTTGGGCTTTTGGAGGTGCTCCAAGCTTTTACGAACCGCCAGCGGCACACTTCTTTTCTTCTTCTTTCTTCTTTTTGGCTTGCGCAGCCCCAAGCCCCAAAAAGTTTGCAGT